TGCTGTTTCTGCTCAACAGTACAGATAGGCAGGCCAGCCCACGGGCCTTTGATATCAAGTTAAAGCAGAAACACTTACCACTTTGGACTTCCTCTGCCCCTTCTAGAGCTGCACCAGGTGGGCTTTTTTCTGTGGCTTCCCCAGACTCCTGAAATCTCCTCCGCCTACCAGGATAGCGTATCAGTTATCCCAGACAAAGCCCGGAAGGAAAAGTGGGCCCTTTGAGTTAGGGAGAAAGAGAAAAGCAGGCTTTGTGGGCTGGGAAGGGCAGGCCCTGTGGAGGAGCTGTTTGTGCTACATGTGGAGGACAGGGTAGGATAGAGATGAGCACAAGGACCATTCCAAGGAGGAAGGCAGCCAGAGAATACTGAGTTTTGTTTTGTTTTTGTCTTTTTTGAGACAGGGTCTTGCTATGCAGTTCAGGCTGTCCTTGAGCTCACTTTGTAGCCCAGGCTGATCTCGAACTTGCAACAATCCTCCTGCCTCAGCCTCCCAAGTGCTGCGATTATAGGTGTGCGCCACCACGCCCGGCTTGTTTTTCGTCTTTTTGAGACAAGGTCTCGCTATGCAATTTAGTGGCCTTGAGCTCACTTATGTAGCCTAAGCTGGTCTCAAACTCACAATGATCCTTCTGCCTCAGCCTCCTGAGTGCTAGGATTATAGGCGTGTGCCTCCACGCCCAGCCTTTTAGAATACTGAGTTTTGAATGCAGCGGTGTACTGTATCTAGATTTTCCTACCCTACTAGCACTTAGAGCAAGAAGGGAAACTGAGGAGTCCTTATTAGAATGAAAAACAGCCTCAGCCAAGGTGACCCTGTCACCAGATGTGACCTCCAGCAGCCTTTCTCCAGCCCCGAACCATTAGGGCTCCTGGAAAAGCCTTACTAGGGTGGCCTCGTCCTGCCCACCAAACCACTGCCCTGGAGCCCCGAGCGTTCCTTCCCCGTGAGCATGTGCTCTCTAGCAGACAGCCTGTGTCTCCCCAACAACGCTCTGCTGGGTACACTCTGTCACTTTCCATCACTGACAGCACACTGAAGGGTGCCGACACATGGGGCGTGGGAGGGGAAGGGGGGTGGGCACCTGGGTGAGCAGCGGGTGGTGTCCCCTTCCCGGGAACCCTCCTGCTGCAGGTGTCTGCGTCTTCCTTGGACACTCTCCACCTGTCTGTCCTTATACACTGGCCACCGGCTACCTCGCTTATCTCAAGGACAGGACAGTAAGACTAAGGGGACATGGGTCCTCTCCTAAGGACAATTTAAATGGTGGCATCTCTGCCTCCTTTACAGGTGTGTGTGTGTGTGTGTGTGTGTGTGTGTGTGTGAGAAGCTCAATCTGTGGCAAGTCCTGTGCCCTTCAAGTGACCCGAAGCCCAGCTTATTCCTGAGGGGGTGGGGCAGAAAACTGTGTAACCCCTAAGGGTTCCTGCCCACTACCCTAGATTGGCTCCAGGGGCTGCGAAGCCCCAAGCCCTCGCATGGATTCTCGGGAGGAGCTCTAAGTCACCCAGGAATGACTCAGCATGGCTCCTCTCCTGCCAGCCCGAAGGACCAGAAGGAGGCTCCTCCCCAGTGAATGGCTACATCCTTGCCAGTCATGACCACACCCGGCCTGGATGGAAAATTACCGGGGGAGGAGGGAAGGGAAGGTTACACTCAAGGAGGTTTTGACTTCTCAGTCCGGAAATGGCAGCCATCTCCTCTCCACCTGGAACTAATTTCTGGCCCTGTCCCTAACCAAGCGTGCCCAGGTCTGAATGAGGGGAGGTTACCTGTGCACGGGACAATGTCAAAGGCACAAGGCCACATCGCTTGTGCATGCAGTGCTCTTGATAGCCTCGCCCCTGGGACGGACAATAGTTTTTTTTGCTCACCAGGCCTGCAGACCCCACCTGCCCACCTCCAAAACAACCCTCAGCTCCTCCAGACAGTGGTGGATTCCTCTGCAGAAACTAAATTTTCCTGGTGACATGCACTATCTGTAGCTGAGTATGGTGATGTACACCTGTAATCCCAGCACTCAGGAGGCTGAGGCAGAAAGATCACTGTGAGCTCCAGGCCAGCCTACACTACAAAATGAGACCGTCTCAAAAAAACAAAATAAAAACCGGGCGTTATGGTGCACGCCTGTAATCCCAGCACTTGGGAGGCTGAGGCAGGAGGATCCTTGGGAGTTCAAGATCAGCTTGGGTTACAAAGTGAGCTCAAGGCCAGCCTGAGCAGCATATGGAGACCCTGTCTCAAAAAGACAACAAAAACAAAAACAGAAATTCTTTGTTCAGTCCTGCATTTGCTAATACAGTACTTGCCTTATCAGATGCCGAAGTGCTTACAACTGAGAAAAGCCTGTTAATGACTTCTGAATTGAAACAAAAATGTTACAATCCAAAGGAGCCATGCACCTAGGTCCAGTTCCTGGGCCACTAGGGGAGCTGCTGAGGAACCTCTAGGGAAGTAAAAATGTGGCCAGCAGCTCCGGTCCTGGAATTGGGCAGATCCACAAGCTGAAATCATAGTCACATTGGTCAACATCTCTAAAAAAATTTTATCTTCCACCTTTGCTCTCAGGACTTCATGCAAAAATTTTTCTAAAGCTCCAAAGGTCATATAGGAGAGAACCAGTTGTGGAATCAGGCTGCTGGAATCAGGCTGCTGCCACGAGTTGTGGGATTCTGGGAAATGGGCCTCCGTGCCTCTGCTCTTTCCTCTGCAAAAACAAGTAACAGCTACTTCACAGGCTGGTCGGAGCACTACGGTCAGTGTCTCACACACAGAGAGAGCTTACAATGTCAGACACAAAATAATGGAAAGTGTTAGCAAACCATGGGCGTTTAGCATAATGCGCAGCACCTACCCAGTAAGAGCCTCTGTGTAACTGTTTCTAAATCATACTGGTGGGCTGCAAAGGGCCTCCTGGGAGGTGGGACTTTAGCTACGGTGGGCTTACTGATGGGTCATTTACTTGGGAGGGATGCCTTCTAGACATGAGCCTGAGACTTGTAGTGTCAGTGCACTAGGCCAGTGGTGGTGAACCTTTTAGCTTTCAGTGGTAACAGCCTGCTGTCACACCAATACCGTAAGTTCACCACCATGGCGCTAGGCTTATTTTTTAAAACGATTCTTGCTATGTTACACAGGCTAGTCTTGAATTCCTGGGCTCAAATGATTCTCCCTGCCCCAGCCTCCCGGGTAGCTGGGAAAAACAATGTGTACCACCTTGCTGGGGTGGTTGGGCCTTTTTTTTTTTAAGACAGGGTCTTGCTATGTGGCCCAGGCTGGCCTTGCACTCGAAGGATTTCTCCTGCCTCTGCCTCTTGAGTGCTAGGATTACAAGCATGCACCAGCATGCCCAGCAGAAGGTACTAATCTTGATCACGAAGGGGTAAAAGAGTTTAAGAAACAACTTCTGGGGATATGGACCTTAAGAACAGTACTTCTGGGCTAGGGATGTGGCTCAGTGGTAGAGCTCTTGCCTTGCATGCAGAAGGCCCTGGGTTCGATCCCCA